GCAGCACAGTTTGCAGGGCAAACGAGCTTGCGTCTCGCATGACTTGATCCCGCAGCGGCGTCAGCTGCAGACACTCGACCCGGGACATGAGGTTCAATAGTGGCACTAGACCCGAGAGGTCCTCGTTGGCGAAGCGCAGCTCAACAATGCGGATGAAGAAAACAATTTCTGGGGAAGCGCGCGCAAGGTCGCCCAAGCGAGCAGCATTTTGAGGCGTCAGAGTCACAGCGAAAAGAAGGTGGAAACGGGTCGAGGGCCGCCATGCTTTGCAGACGAGGCTGCATGTCTTGAGCGTCGCGCGGTCGGCGTGGCAGAAGTCAATGATGGCGTCCTCGATTTCCGCAGGCAGTGTGCGTGGTTTGTGGCAGTCCATGGGCTCATCCGCGGCTGGCTGCTCTTTTATACCGCTTGATACGCGCGAAAAACGCGCTTCATACCCGAGAAGCCTCGTGCCGGCATAATTCCACCTCCCTCCGCACGTCTTTCATACCCTGGATCCGACTACCGCTTGTTTTCGCGGCTGAGGTGGCGCTCGAGCTGAAGCAGCTTGAGCGTTCTGCGGGGGTGCAAGTGGGAGGCCATAGGTTGCTTAGCAGCTGTTGCGCGTTGAAGTTTCTGTCAGAGCTGGGGCAAACTGATGCCTTCAAGATGGTATTTGCAATCTGCCTGAGCGAGCGCTTGACCGTTCTACTCGGATGGCATCACGTCAGAGAAGGAACACGCTTTGTGATCATGCGGATAAGGATTATCTTATCTGAACTCAGCTAGTGGATTTATCATCTGTTTCGATCCCAGCCTGCCCTTATTCACTGCACTACCTTGAAGCTGATGGCCGCCTCGAACCCATTTTCTTTCTCTGACTGGCCGCCTGCGCTATCAGATGAGCAAGCTGCGGCCTTGACGCTGTACGCAACGTCGTACGCTCTTTCGCATGGCCTGCTGTATCTGCCGGCATCTGTCCCGCAGCCTGCGATCCCGAACTCAGCGATCCACGCGCCGCTGGCGCTCTTCCCGTCACCCTTTCCCCGCAATCTCTACAATCATGCCCGGCGGCTGCAAAGCACGTGCAACATTCTCTACGCGCGCATCGCGATGGACGAGGAGTTCCTGGATCGGGTCATGGGTGCGGTGGACGGTGTGGGCAAGGTCGATGATTTCGTGGGGCAGTTGTGGACGGGTTGGAAGAAGCTCCGCGATGAGGGCGGCCTCGTGCAGGTGAGGGATCAATCTGGCCGGAGATGACCACTGAACTTGGCTGCGATCAGCCGCTGCATCTTGGGTTGTTCCGCTCAGACTACTTGCTGCATTGCACTGCTCCCGAGTCTCCTTTGGAGCTGAAGCAAGTCGAGTTCAATACGATCTCATCCTCTTTCGGTGCCCTTTCTGAGCGCACGGCGGCGTTACACCGGTTTGGGGAATCCCATTGCACGCGGTTTTCAGCTCATACTGTCCAGATATCTGCATGCGACTACCTCATATTATGACCTACACCCGGGTATGAAAACGGAGGACTTCCCGGCAAATACGACGACGACGGGTCTCGTCGAAGGTCTTGCCGCAGCTCATGCTGCCTATGGAGTCGAAAGGCATGTTCTAGCGTTAGAACCTCCACTCCATGCTAATACCTGCTGGATAGTTCCCGGATCTTATTCGTCGTTCAGCCCGGAGAGCGGAACGTCTTCGATCAGCGATTCTTAGAATACGAGCTACTCGAGAGGTCCGCACATATACTCTTGGAGGCGAGGCTGACCACATCATCAGGCATTCAATCCACGTCGTTCGACAAACATTCGACGAGCTCTCATCCAACGCCTCAGTCGAATCTGCATCACGCGTGCTCACTGTACTCGGCTCAGAGATATCGGTTGTGTATTTCCGGGCAGGGTACACGCCGACCGACTATCCGTCCGCCCAGCAGTACACGACGCGCTTCCTGATTGAGAGCTCCAAAGCTGTCAAATGCCCGTCGATCGCTCTGCAGCTTGCGGGTGGAAAGAAAGTGCAGCAGGTGCTCGCCCAGCCGGGCGTCGCCGAGCGCTTTTTGGGGGGCGTAGTCAGTTCCGCAGCCATCGACGAGATGCGCAACAGCTGGATGGAGATGTGGGGGCTAGATGAGGGGCGCGAGTCAGAGGACGGGGTCAAACGAGCCCGAGCTGAAGCGGACATGCTGGTGCTCAAGCCTCAACGTGAGGGCGGAGGGAACAATGTGTACAAGGAGGCGATTCCGGCTTTTCTTGACGCACTCCCGGCTCCTGAACGACAGGCGTGGATTGCGATGCAACTGATCCGCCCGCCCGATGTCGGGGGCTATCTGGTGCGAGCGGGCGGGGGCGAGGGTGGGGCAGTGAGAACCGATGTGGTCAGCGAGCTGGGAATCTTCGGATGGGCGTTATTTGGAGGCTCAGACGGAAAGATCGAGGAGAAGGACGTTGGATGGCTGGTTCGGACGAAAGGCAAGGACAGCAACGAGGGCGGCGTTGCGACTGGATTCTCTGTCCTGGACTCGATCTTTTTGGTGGATTAGAATACAACTTCCATCGTTCTATATAGGATAGTGGATAAAAAGTACACAATGATTATGTTTTGCTTAGGCAGCCTTGCTGCGCGCACCAACCCAATAAGATCCGTGAGGCCACTCGAATTCAGCAATACTTGACTTGTGCATCTCGATGCTGGAAGCGATATGCGTTAGATTTGGCTGACACGAGAGAAAAAAGTGACACACCTGTAGCCCTCCGATGCGTTACCGGGCACATTGTACCGCCCGTTCGAGTTAATCGAGCACGGGTACAAGAAGTGTTCGTGCAGGTGGTCGACAAACTCGAGCACATTGCGTTCCATCGTGCCAGAAACAGCAATGTAGTCGATCAAACTGGAATGTCCGCTCAATGAAACAATCAAGCATGCAGAGAAACAACACACCTCAAGTGGATGACATACTCGCATAGACCCACACCACCAGCATGGGGGCACACTGGTACACCAAACTTGGCGGCCATCAGCAACACACTGAGCACCTCACTGACACCAGCGAGACGGCACGAGTCAATCTGCACAACATCGATGGCCTCGGCTTGCAAGAGCTGCTTGAAGACCATCCGGTTGTGGGCGTGCTCGCCGGTGGCAACACCGATCCCGTGGGGCTTGAGTGCTTTGCGGATCGCAGCGTGACCGAGAATGTCATCAGGTGCAGTGGGCTCTTCGATGAACCTGTGGTGGGTCTTGAGCGTCTGGGATAGAAGCAAGAATCAGTGGAATGGACGAACCAGGGCTTGATTTCAGCCAGTCCCTTGACGTAGTCAATGGCCTGGTTCACATCCCAGACCTGGTTCGCATCGATCATGAGGACAGCACCCAGCGGACCGGCGTTCTTCCCGCGCAGAGCCTCGCTGTTGGGATCAAGGGGAGTGTGGCCCGCAGGCAAGTACTGAGGGTCGTCGATAATAGACCGGATGATCTTTCCGCGACGCAGATCGTTGGCCTGATCGGCACCGACTTTCATCTTGAAGTGGTTGAAGCCGGCAGCGACGGCCTCCTTGGTCAGACGAGCCACTTTCTCATCGGTGTATCCAAGCCATCCGGCGGAAGTCACGTATGCAGGGTATCTGGTAAGCCAGTCATGAGAACAAAACCGGATCTATGCGGTGTCAGGCGACTTACCCAAGTTCCCGAACCTTAGCTTCACGCTCCTTCTTTCCGGCTTCGCGCTCCTTGAGCATTGCCAAGGCCTCCTCTTTTGTGATGGCATCGGTGATGTATCGGAATGCAGCGGCGCTGACAAGCTCCTCGGGCGTGAAGTCGACAACCAGCTTCCAGAGCGGCTTGTTGCGCGACCGAGCGTACATGTCCCACAGAGCGTTGTTCACCGCTCCCGACGCAATGTGGATGACACCCTTCTCAGGACCAATCCTGAAAGGCGTGATGAGTACGTCGAGTCAGGGTAGACAGAGACGGCCATGCACTCACCAGCGCAATTGAGGGTCACTCAGCATGAACGCCCACGTCTCACCCATGTTAGAGAACAAGGACTCGGTGTCTTTCCCAACGAGACGGTTCGCTACCTCCTTGATCGCGGTGCAGACGATATCGTTGCCGCGACCGATGGTGAAGGTCATGCCGTGCCCGACGAGATCAGAGTCGGTGAACAGGGAGACGTAGGCAGACGAGTAATCGCATTCGGTGTTCCTATGCACAGGTCAGCGCAGAGAAAAAACGTTACGGGGAACATAACGCACATCGCATCCGTTCCATCTCCTGTCAGCGATGTGGGGAATCGCACATCTGTCGAGAAAGATCAGCTAGGGCAAACGACTGGCGTCGAGGGAGCGCACCGTGGATCTCGAAGGAGGTGATCTTGACCATTTCGAAATGCTAGGTAAGAATTGGGAGGAGAACGGGGAAAGTGGAGAATTTGTGCATCAAGCTGGGGTACAAGGGTATTTAAGCATGGAGAAGTGGGCAAGATCCGGGCCGCGGGGAACTCGGGCCGCCGGCCCGGAAGCAAGGTACGGCTTCAGCTCTCGGCGCATTCGCATATGGTCTTTCTTCATTGCACCCTTCTCTAGTGGCCCAATTGACTCATCTATCCGCCGCACAACTCCGGCTATCTTCTGACCCCTCCCTTTTATTGGTTTTAACGACACTTATGCTCCACTAAGTATGCTCGGACGAAAAAAAGTTACTGCATGAATTACGTGTCCGTTTCAGAAGATGAAATAAGGATGCAGATCTTCAACGCTCGCAACATCGATGTCAGAGCAAACAAGATTGCGATTATTACATGCGATCCGTTCAGGCTCGGAGAATCTTTTCCAATTGATGCGAACTCTCTTCTCTAACCTAGAATTGTGGGGCTCGGCCGACCAGCGTGTTCTTTGTTTTGCCACGCCAAAAATCGGAGGGTTGAACTGCCCAAAGCCCGAACCACATTTAGTCCGGAGAGCGCAGATCGATTGATTGGTCAAATCTGCAGCCACGGACAAACATATGCAAGCACCATCAGCGAGGCTTTAGTTCGTCGTGCTCTAAGACGGTGTCCCCAATCTGACCCTCACTGCGTGCAATGGTCGAATCGTCCCTGGCCAACTGGGACGGCTCTCAGAATCATAGCCACACCCCGGCTATGGCGCGTAGCATCGGCGCGCACACAGTGAGACACCCTCGCTCGGACCATATCTCGCAGCCCATCCAACACAAGCCCAACCCTACACCGAATGCGAGCGCTGGCCCGAGTAAAATTGTGGGCGGGTGGGTCGGCACTGAGACAGCAGCCGAGGAGACAGAGTCGGGGAGGGATGCGCGCACTTCGGGCGCGCCGCGATTAGCAAACGCGGATTGGTATGCGCGTTTTCATGCTGGCGAAATAGAGAGCTCCGCGCTTTTGGGAATCTCGCGTAGATTCCAGGCTCCGGGGCATCCTTTGAATAACGCGATGGCTACGACCATCCATCATCTAGTATCCTCAGACGCTGACCAACCTTTGGCGACATCCACCCGACCATCCTCGGCTTCTCGAGACGCACACGTCCAGGGGCGTCCGTCTTCAAAGATTCAATCCGACGCGTTTTGCGATACGGTGGGCCCCCTGGCTTCAGCCCCAAACCGTATCGCGTGCTCACCCACCTTCCAGTCGCCCGACGCCGCTTCCTCACTGTTGTCATCCCCAAAGTCACCCCCGCATGCGCCGCCCTTCTCAACGCGCGAACTGTTCAGTGCGCACGTTCCCGAACCCATTTCTTCCGCATTCGGCGCTCCCGGGCCGGCGCTCACCATGACGGATGTCGCACCATCAATATTCTCCGCGTCTCAAGGCGCTGGAGTGCAAGGAGCGCTTGCACAGGCTGTCGCGAGCGACGGGTCGCTATTTTCCTCCCTGATGAGATCGGAAGAGGAGGAGGAGGACTTGCTGACGAGGGGCGTGCAGGGAAAGGCAAAACCGCAGGATGATGTTTTCTTAGCGGCACCGCGCCATGAAGTTGGCATCGAGCCGGTATGTGTGCGACGTATATAACATCTAATGCTGATTCTTACATCCCGCACTGCAGAAAAGCACGCTCTTTACGCGCTCCTCTTCTCATTCGACATCGTCTCGGTCTCGCTCGCGTTCCCGCTCATCACCAGCATCCTTTACAATCACCAATCCCCGCGATCTCTTCTCTCCTGGCCCCGAAACGGCGATACCAGCTCCTCCGCGGATCCGGAGAACGATCGCACCGGGTGTCGGGAAAGCACACAAGATCCGCAAAGAGCGTCACCCAGCAGACGCATTGGACCGCACCACGCCGCGCCTCAATGAGCTCAGAGGGAGGCAGCGCATGCGAACGCGGTTGGTCATGGACTATGTGCTCGTTCCATCTGCTCCGTATCTGTTGCACAAGAGGAGAAAGGCCAAACCTCGAGTGAAACGGTTCGAGATAACATCGGAGGATTCATCGGTGGAGGAATATGCGGTTGATGCGCTCTCTTCAAGCTATATGGCAAACGCGATGTCACATACCCCGTATTCCGCCCTTTCCGCGAAAGTCAAAGGAAAACGGCCGATGCGAGAGTCGGTCAGCCGACCGCTCAAACGCGCTCGAAAAGATGGAGTGTCGCGAACGAAACTGACCTGGACGTCGCTGCTAGATGAAGAGGAAGTTGAGGAGGAGGAGGAGGAGGAGGAGGACACGCCTAAGATCTATCTGGAATTCGACATGGACACGAGAGATGCAGACCGGGCATCATACCGGGCGCTGGCGCTCAATCGTGAGAGGTACGGGATACCGGCAGGATACGACGATGCGGCGCAACGTGTTTGGAGGAGAAGGACGTGTTGCTTCGAGCCGCGTTCCAGGACTGTGAAAGAGAACCTTTGCAACGACGAACAAGACGACGAGGAATTCCTCCTGACATGTGGCGCTTCCATTCTAGAGGGTGACAGGCTCCTGCTGGTCTCTCATGAAAAGAAAACGAGAGGGCGACCGTCGATGAAGCGGTCGGCTGTGGAATTGGACCGGTCCCGTCCTCGCGGGGTTTCGACGAAGGTCAAGTTGGATGAATCGCCTGAAGAGAAGTCCGCTCTCATGACGGAAACGGGATTCGCAATAGAAAACACTGTCGAGGGATCGATATTGGACGACATAGCTATCGAACCACCGCCCCCGCCAGCGCACACCGACGGTAACATAGATTCTCACGACGACCCTCTTGAGTCACAAGGCGATGTTTTCGAGCCACAAGTTGATGGCATTTACGATGGTTTCAAGCCATACGATGATGGCGACTTGGAACCGGTCAAGGATGGTCCAATCACTCCCCACATCGAGCCTTTCGAGCCACACAGCAATCCCGTTGAGCCTCCATCGGCCATCCCCGTACCATTTGATCCTCAGCCGTCTGTTCCGAGCTCGGATGCAAAACCACATTCCCTTCCGGGGTTCAAAGACGAATTGGTCGGTCAGGAATCATTCTATCCGCAGCTTCCGACCTGGAGCTCCGTTCTCGAACCGGATCCGTCATCAATGTCGATGGAAGAGCAAGAACGGCCCGCCAGCTACGATTGTTTGTCCTTTCAATCGTCATTATCGGAAAAGGCGCTGGGGAAGCAGCGAGAGCGAGAGCCAAGTCCCCAGATCCTCGAGCAGGAAGACTTCATGTCGATGTTCGTGAACATGGACTCTGCTGAGGAGTCGTCGCCCAAGGCTCAGGCTACCAGTCTGCTGCAGAATCCCACGCCGCTGGTCTTGATGCATACCTCTGCTGCCCGTGCTTTCATGGAACTGGATGAGCTGCCGCGATTTCCAGCACGAAGAGAAGATGTGTGGAATGGGACAATCGACCCTGCTGTTCTGCTTGGGGATGACCTGCCATGTCCGCCGGAAGAACTTGCCTCGACGTCGCCCCGGAAGAGAAAACGGCGAGTATTGGCGGACATGGTCGCCATTGACGAGCTTGATTTCGCTCCAAATGCCGCGCCGAAACGAGTTTCTACTAAACGACAAGGACAAAAACCCGGACCGAAACCCCGACCGAAGCCCAAAGTTGCAGTCAGCTCTGCTCGTGATACTTCGCCTGCGCAAGAGCTGAGCGCGGACCCCTTCTTTCGATACACGGGCCCGCCGTGGCCGGCCGGCGACGACCCCGACGAAGATTTCTGTCACCACTGTCGACGCAAGACGGGAAATGCGACGATGAAGTTTACGGATTGCGCCCATGCATTCTGTGTGAGATGTGTGATAGTCAAGTAGCTGTCCTCTGCTTTCCTGCTGCGTATGTCCAGCTCATCAACATTCTAGATACGACCCTGGCACGGTCCCTTTTGCGCTGACACGGCCGACGGACGACTGTCCCCGATGCCAGGACACGTGCCGGTGCGATATCTGCACCAAACGGCGCGGCGATGTGTACGTGCACAAAAGACCGACGGCGAGGACGGCGCAGCATACGCCCCTGGACGAGATCACGCTCCGGGCACCGCAGGCGTACTATGCGACGATGTACGGTGTGAATGGCGCGCCACTGGCCCGGACTTTCTTGGGCGCAAATGGAGACTCGAGTGTCGTGCGGGCGAAGCCCCTGGAGAGACGGCTTCAGCGGCGGGTTTTCGTTGGCCGTGTGCAGGAGCACTGGGCTCTGGGCGATGCTATCGTGTACGTTGAGCCGACGCCGGTCAGGGCTGGACTTGGTGCGGGGGCGTTCGATGAGAGCAGCGACGACGACGACGAGGACGAGAGTGACCGCGAGGGCCCGAAGGATGACGTGCAGGAGAAGAGACTATATATCGGAGACGAAAGCGTTCTCCGTCTCCCCCCTGCGGTGCTGATCCAGGATTTCAAACCTGTCGCCGAGGACAACTACTGGTACCGCGATTCGTCGATGAGCGAGACACCTGCCAGTGCGGTAGAGGAGGAGGGTATCATCATGTCCGGCACGGGGCTGACGCCGACGCAGCTGGAGCAGGTCATCACGTGTGCGTTGGGGTATGCCCGGAAGAGTCATTCAGGCAGGGATGATCAGCAATGCGACGGGAGGACTGAGGATCACGACCGCGACACTCTCAAGGAGGCGGAACCCAGTCAGCCGGTCAGTGAACCGGCCCCTGCGGAAATCCCCACGGATGTTTCCAGCTTATTGGTCAAGCTGGACCATGATCACTGATGTGTACTATACGCTTTTTTTGTCCTACATACATACATGGCCGGAATTACTGTGGACATCATTCTGCTATTTACGAACTCGTCAAATGCACAGCCACTGGACCATCGACACGATCACATGTCTGATAAAACACGCACCGCGCTCCTATTGGGTGAGGAAACAAGCCTGATTCGATAAGAGTCATGGACTGACCGTAAGGTAGCCGACACATCAAACCAGCACGGGTGACTAAGCTTTGATGTGACCACATCACGCCCGCCTCCCGCCTCATATCCCGTCGGCGGCTCTGAGTATTGTCTCATTTCATTCACATAGCACACTACCTGAGATAGTAAACTAGATACCTATGTGAACAGAATTCTTGAAATTACCCTGAGTGTTATGTTATACCTCGACTTTCTGAAAAATTGTGGACACACTCTAGAGGACACAGAAACACGTTTGCGCCAATAGACATCGGGGAGCGGTCAGGATTTGAGGTGATTATATAAGCATCACGTGATTTAATTATTCCTAATCTGGAAACATATTTGCGGGCATGTAAAAATCCTTTCGATACAAAACGGCATCATGGGCCAAGTACGAGAGTCTGTAAAGGCTCGTAGACACGCCCTGAAGCTTGCTCGTAAAGCTCTCCAACTTTCCCAAGTCTCCGATCAGCCAGCACCTAACATCTCCACTTCCAGAGAGGCGCATGTCGAAGAAATCGAGGATTCAGATGATAAAGAAGACACCAGGCCGATCGAGTCCGACTCCGAGCGATCTCAGCCAACACTGCTTGATGAGCGATCTCAGCGAACACTGCTAGATGAAGATGACAACGAGAAGGACTTGGACGCTCACCTTTTTGTACCGGAGGCAGCGGACATCGTTGCTAGGTTCATGGATTTGGAGAGGCGGAGGGTTGTGAGACGCTGGGAACCCGAATTCGACTCAGCAGAGCAAATGGAGGAAGACAAGTTCAGCTCGGAAACACACCTGGAGACATTTGCTGAGCGTCTTCAACGGCTGCATAACGAAGCATGTGTTCGGGAGAAAGCTCAACGTGCCGAGAACAATCGCAGCGCTGGATACAAGCGGAACTCGAAGGAAACTCAGCGGAGGAACCAGAAGAAGCGAATGGTGTGGAAGCAGGGAGGGAACAAGTTGATCTCCGAGCACTTCAAGACTGTCCCCGAGCCCAAGAGAGTCACGGAGACTACAAGTGACGTCTCAGAGATGGAGAAGGGAGAGAATGAAGACATGGATGACGTGGTTGAGATCGCTGGGCCGGCTGAGCTGCGAGACACAAACGTGTCAAGGGACGAAGTTCTGAACGCTGTAAAGGCACCAATAACCCACTCGGCAGACACAGAAGGGCGCACCAAAGATAACGAGGAGCAAGTTCCTCCTACTCCACCCAGCAGGATCATGCCCGATGGCCTCCCGTCCAACATCCCTCTTGTGCCACCTTCAGTTCCGTCGCTACTACCGCCGCTACCACCGCCGCTACCACCACTCACTCCGCAATTGACCACTCCACAGGACGCTCGCGCGATGTTGAATAAGATGATGGATGAGGCTAAGAGATTGAAAGAAGAGTCAGTGATGATGGATGAAGCCGAGAGAGCTCTTAGTGCGCTCACATGGCGTGATCGTCCCGCACTTCAAAAGGCAGCGGCAGGACTCTCCCTGAAGGCCAAAGACAAGAAGCTGGATGTCTTGTCCCGTGCTAGAATTGTTGCGATGGTCGCAACCTTGAATTACTATCTTGACGCGAATCTGGATTTTACCTGGCGCGAATCATCATTACTTGCCACGACGGCCTTCTCTCGTGGATCGAACCACGCTTGTAATCTCCGGAGCTGGATACATCTGTTCCTCAGTTGCGGCAAGCTCCCAGTCCATCACTATGGAGCATTTCATCCAAAGATGCTGGATGACAAAGACTTCTCGACGGACCTGCAGACACATCTGCTCGAAAAGGCGAAGGCTGGCGGATATGTTTCAGCACAATGGATAGTCGATTGGGTGGCCAGCGAGGAAGTCCAAAAGCGGTTTGAGGGCAAGGTGAAGCCGTCCATCTGTCTGCGCACAGCACATCGATGGCTCAACCAACTCAATTGGCGCTTTGGGACGAAGAAGAAGGGAATGTATGTCGATGGCCATGAGCGAGAGGACGTCGTCAAGTATCGGGAGGCGTTTGTCAAGCGGTTCAAGGAAGAATACGAGCCGAGAATGGTGTTGTATGGATCAGACGGAGAAATTATCAGCCGACCCAATGGTTTCCCCGTCGCGCAAGGCCACCGTTTCCGCTTGATTCTTGTCACACATGACGAGTCAACATTCTACTCTCGAGACCGACGCAAGATCGTTTGGCAACACCCGGACCTTGGGCCTCAGATCGAAAAGAAAGGGGAAGGCGACTCAATCATGGTCTCAGACTTTCTCTGCCCTGAATTTGGACGGTTAACGGACGACACTGAGTAACTTCTCATATCTTGCCGTGGGTGCTCGCTTATCATCCCTATAGTGACGCTCGGCTGTTCTTTGAGGCAGGCAAGAACCGAGATGGGTATTTTGCAAGCGACCACCTCATGGAACAGACAGCAAAAGCCATCGATGTCTTTGAATCCCGCACAGCAGGCTTCTACACCGGTCTCTTCCTGTTTGATAATGCCCCGAGTCACCAACGACGTGCACCAGACGCTCTGACTGCACGCAGTGTTTGTAAGAAACCATCTGCGACCTGGACGCCCCATGCCAACGGACCCAAGATGCGTAATGGCACATTTAATGGCGCTGAGCACAACTTCTACTTCCCGCTCGATCATCCCACCATGCCTGGCTGGTTTAAAGGTTCCGAAATCATTCTGCGCGAACGGGGCCTGTTTCGGACTGGTCTCCGTGGTGCCTGCGAGAAGGCCTGCTTCAAGAGCAAGGTATCTGACTGCTGTTGTCGAAAGATTCTGTTCTGTCAACCAGATTTTGTCCATCAAAAATCCGCGTTGGCAGAGATGGTCGAAGAACGCGGGCATCTGTGTGATTTTTATCCGAAGTATCATTGTGAACTAAATTTCATTGAGCAGTATTGGGGTGCAGCCAAATATCGATACCGTTCAACTCCCCCAACATCCAGCATGGATGAGATGCGAGCCAATGTCAAGCGGTGCCTTGATGATGTGCCACTTGACCAGATTCGACGGTGCGATTGATTCATCTGAATACTTACCTGATACTGATATATGTCATCGTTAGATTTGCAAATCGCTCTGCGCGATTCATTCATGCATATCACGAAGGTCTGACCGGTGCGCAGGCAGCTTGGGCAAATAGACGCTACCACGGACATCGCACTCTCCCTCCGGATATGATGACCCAAGCCCGGGAAGCTTTTCCTCTCACTTGATACAACCTAGCACAAAGTCTTAATTGTTATATCTGAGCTAACGACTGATAACTTCTTGCAACCTCGGAATGGGCGAGATTTGAGGCGTGACAGTGACTGTGATGTCACGTAACGTCACAGCTTAGTCACCCGTGCTGGTTTGATGTGTCGGCTACCTTATGTGCAGAGACGAAAATCACCAACGAGAAGCGGAGTCTTATGACAGATCTGTGATCTGTGATCTCAGCTCAGCCTGCTGCTTCGTGCGCCCCCTCTAATCGAACCATGTCTCTTCCCAACCCCAAGCAACTGGAGAACGCACGCGGCTTCCTCGAGTCCATCAACGCGCTCGACTGGGACGCGCTCGCCGCGCTCATGGCGCCGGATTTCCGGCACCGGTATCTGCCGGGGAGCATCCCGCCGCCGGACGGGAAGGAGTTCCGCGGCAGGGACGAGTTTCTGGGCGTGCTCAAGTTCAACCTGGGCTCCGGGAAGGTGTTCGGGCCGACGAAGGTGAGCGCGCCGCTGTCCATCGGACCCGGAGGCTTATCGGGCGGCGATCGCGTGCGGGCAGTATTACGCCTTGAACGAGGTCCATGGGCAGGATGCGGTCGTGTTCCATGTGAGAGTCTTTTTCCCTTGATCATACGGTTGCATCCCCCTCATGCTGTGTCTGCGTCTCCAGGTCAAGTCGGACGGCGCGTCGGTCTCGGGCAAGGCGTACCACAACGAGTACATGATCACGTTCTACTTCGCCGGCGAGAAGATCGTGCAGATGGATGAGTTCCTCGACTCGAAGTACACATCCGCGTTCTTCCTGGCGCTCCGAGAAGAGTGAGTCCGGCGATCGGTGCGACAGCTGGTGTGTCTCGGTCTGACGCGATTGCATCTAGGGTTCCAGAGGCAGGGAAGAGCGCTTGAGTCACGAAGATGGGACATTCCTTTTCACGGGATGTGCTCGACAACTTAGTTGTCATTACTATCCAGACTATCCTTGCTTTGCACGCCTCCAGGAAGGTCTTGATGACACTTTAGGTCACTAGGGACGATCTTACGAACACATACTGGCTTCCTTATTGAGGGGTTGCAATGATTATTATTGTCGCTCTATATGATCTTCGAGGTTGTGATGGCAATGCTGACCGGTCTGTTGACCGGATAAGGCTCAAAACCTGCCTGGGCACGCTCCAAGCTTTTGATCATGTATCTTGCGGAATCTGACCCGAAAATCGGCTCTCAGTGAGGTCTAACATCAGCATGAAAAGTGGGCATGAAAGCCGGGCAGTGAATTTTGATACAGCTCTTTATGTCTGTTCGCCTGATTGCTCAAATCTTTAGCCCACATATTCTATGCATATCTAGCATTGCAGCTCGAAGCTCTGGACATTATGCATCCAAAATTGGTCGAGAAACAATCAAGTGTGGAAAGGAACTCTCAATCACTGACTACATGCTGAGATCGGTCGATTATATTACACGAGAAAAGGCTCATATAAACGTTGTGTTGTTCCAAGTGTTAGTTTTGGTGATAATAATAAGCATTACTCTGAATTTTGCGTTATATCGTCATGTGGAAGCCAAAAGGCCCAGTTTTGTTTTCACTCTACCCTAGTACCCTGCCCACCAGGTGTAGTTGTTCGTCTGCTCAGCCGTGTCCCAGAGCAAGGGAGCGCTGGAATCCGCAGGCCGCTCGGGCCAGGCCTGGGCGAGGCCGGCCCAGACCTTGACGTCCGACCACGTGGCCTTGCCGCCGTCGGCGGCGAAGAAGCTCAAGCCGGTGCTGTCGTTGCGCGAGGGGTAAATGCGCGCCGTCAGCGTGAAGCGCTCGTTGACCCAGATCTCGAGGAGGGAGTTGTCGAGGACGACGTGGAAGTTGAGAGGCTCCGTGACAGTCGCGTTGGCGCTCTTTTTGTGGATCTGGTAGGGTTCAAAGTGGCCGACAAAGGCGGCGGTGTTGAAGTTGGGGAGGAGGCTGCTGTGCGTGCGGAGGACACTGATCTCTGCCGTCTCAGGGTCGAAGCGGATGGTGGTGTACTCGGCGTTGTCGGGGCTCTGGGCGAGGATGATGCCGGCGGGGCCAGAGAAGTCGCTCAGGGTCGCCGTCAGTTCGTAGGAGGTGCCGAGGTTGACTGAAGCGGTCTTGGCGGAGTCGTTGATATGGCCGATCTTGAAATCGTAGTGCTTAGCGCCCTTGCGGAGGTGCTTAATGACGTCGGGGAGAGGGCGGACGCCGAGAGTCTGGACGGTGTGGCCGTTGTGGCTCTTGATGCAGACGCTTCCGTCCTGCTGCGTGCCGCAATTCTGGACGTCCTTGGTCTCCTTGATGTGGAGCTCCATGGGCAGGTTCAAAGTGCCTTGATAGCCGAACTGCTTGGAGGTGTTGTAGACGTAGTCGCCCAGGATGTCGTCGTTGGCCCATCCCCACATGACGCGTCTGTCGTTGTTGGAGGTGTCCTTCCAGGTAGCCTGGGCGTACGAGATGCCCCAGTCAATAGCGCCGCCAGAGTTGGGGGTGAACTCGACCGAGCCGTTCTCGCGACGAGCGAGGTCTCCGCGGTTCCACAGAGCCCACTGCTCCTTCCAGTGCTGAGTGGTGTTTCCACCCTCGGCACCCATGGTGACGAACCAAGCCTTCTCGTCCGTGCTGCCGATCGGCAAATCGAAAAAGCTGCTGACTTCGAAGTTGTAGCCGTACGATCCCGTGATGTCGGGCTTGCCGAGGGAGGAGTTTGCGGTGGGCTCCCAGAGGGCACCGAGGAAGGTCCACTGGGTCAAGTTGGAGGAGGGGGCCGAGTACAGAGGAATGCGCGGTCCGATGAAGCCCGGACGTCCAGCGCCAGGGAGCTGCGCGGGGACATCGCCGGTCTTGAGGCCGGAGCCGAGAACCATGTAGTAGTGGGGCTCGCTGGCTTTGAGGAGGCTGTCGAGCTCCTTGGAGGGGAAGAAGCTGGGATCTCTCCAGCCGGTGACGTTCCAGCCCTCGGGAGGACTCGAGATGACAGTGCCGACTTCATCCCAGGTGGAACCTCCGTCGCTGGAGGTGAACATGGCCTGCACCTCAGTGCCGGGGATGTATGGCTGCTTCCAGTTCGTGGGCAGGTGGTGAATGCCGGTACCGAAGGTCAGGAGGGTACCATCGCTGACGCCCTCAAGGTTGACGGGCTGTGCTGTGCCGCTGAACTGCGACAGAGGGTCGGCGGCGTACTCACCGGACGCGAGTGACACAGACGAGGCGTTCTGCCAGCCGCGCACATCCGTCCAGTGGAACAAATCCTTAGACACGGCGTGGCCCCAGGACACATTGCCCCAGTTCACATGGTTGGGATGGAATTGGTAGTGCAGGTGGTACGTCTCGGTAGCTGGGTCGTAGAGCGCGCCGCAAGGGTCGTTCATCCAACTGTGCGGCGCGAGGTAGTGCGAGCGAGGCCTCCAGCGGGTGAAGAGGGAGCTGTTGCCCGCCGTCGCGAGGAACTGGGGCGTGATGGTCGGAAGATCGGCGGACGCGGGGACCGCAGCGGCTGCGAGAGAAGCAATCGCCGTGAAGACGGCACCACCCTTGAGAACGGCCATGCTGTGCGATGTGCGTTGGAGACAAGCCGCTGGAAGCCCGTACCCCACCTCGCGGGGGCGTTCTTCTTAAATAGCCTACGCGTGATCGTTAAAAGTGGCATATGACCTCCGATCCTGATGCGGACGGAGACGTTCCCGAAATTGGCTCCATGTGGAATCCGGATGCGGACAATATTGATCTCTGGGCCCTGGCATAGCCTGGCATGCGAGCACACACTTCCTTATTGACAAACACGCCCGGTATGAGGCACAAGTGTGCTGAGTGCAACATTTGCCTTGGGGAGACTCATGACAAAGTCTATCATTGGCTTCAAGCAGTGGTGGTGCGCTCCTTGGCTGTTCCGTCACAGATTCCAGGCCAGGAGTCACAAGAGGTAGAGGCATGTGTTTGAAAGACACGTTACATATCCACGCCTCAGCTTTTGCGTCCACATCCAGGATCGGACGATCACATACGAGGTCCGCATGCCACATCAGACGTCAGCGTCTGATGTGCACAATATCGTGCGCATCCGGATTGAACATAAAGTGAATCTTGGGACTGATTTCGTCCACATCAGGATTGGAGCTCGCTGGCATATGATGCCGCTGGCGCGGTTGATGGAGGTTGATGGAAGGCGAGTGACGCCGTGTCATGCGCATATCATGTGATTTATCCATCCCTGTAGTCGCCACTCATTACTTCAAACCTGCAGGCCTCGAACGGCTAGCTTCTGGGGACAAGATGCCTATAGTCAACTGGCGCGTGAAGCCAGATTTGGTCTCAGCGTAAATATGTTCAATGTACTATGGCATGTGGATTCTTGTTTGGCTGCGCTTACTAAACCTCGTTATTTATTAAATTGCTCCTACTCGATTGGTTCCGCCTTTCACCGCCTCGCTCCGTATGCCTCCCTCAGAGGCACAGAAGATACGCCGATCCACTAGAAGTTGCGACTTCTGTCGCAAAAGAAAAGGTTGGTTCTAGATCATACCTCCGCAATTGGGGCTCACATGCAGCTTCAAAAGTCAGATGTAGGCTCGTCGTGCGACATACGGGGATGTGAGCTCAGCGTAACGGATAGGTGACGGGCCCCAGCGACCGGGAGATGATTGCTCGCATTGCATCTCGTTTGGATCGGTCTGTTCGGTACGTTTGGGCCGACTCCCGAGCTACCCGCCACTGCTCCGTCTGATGAGGACTGGCAGTATGACATACCGGTCAGGACGCGTGGTCCCAAGCGCCAGAAGGGGTTCGCCCGCGTTTTCTGGAAGACGGGTTCAACGACTGAGACTACACTATCAGCGACGATGTCGAAAGTCTCCAGGCAAGGATCGACGCGTTGGAGGCAAAACTACGATCCCTTTCCGTCTGTGCTCTGTGCTCTCAGCCGTTGAATATCGAGAAGCACGACTCCCCAGGCGATAAATCATCCCCAGATGACGGCGATGAGGTGCAGGAACAACCCACGACTGAGGATGGGATCACACAGACCGATCTCATCAGCCAATTTCGCCAGTTTTCCCTCAAGCTGCCGCGATTCCAGTTATACTTTGGGCCCTCGAGCACTTTCGCGTTTGCGCGTAATGCTATGCTTGTGCGTCGGATACCTCGTAACTCTCATTCTGACTCTATGTCTGTCTCCAGGTGAAGGAAAAGCTACTCGGAAACGCCGCACAGCCAGAGTCTCCATCCCTGATGGTGCTGTGGAACTTCCATTCGGTCAGTCAGTCCCCGCCTTTCGTGCCCCACATGGCGATCTGATGCGCTGCAGTGGGAACACGAAGCATACTTTCATCACCAACCGTGCTACGTCTACCCTCCTCCCGATCTCATCGACAATCTAGTCAAAATATATTGGACATACATACACCCCACGTTCCCAATGCTCCATCGCCCGACATTTGAAGCACACGTCGCCGACGGTCTTTATCTCTCCGATGACAAGTTTGGAGCTTTGCTCCTCTCGGTGCTGGCGCTATCAGCGCAGGTGCGTTGCTGACAGTTTGCGATGTCTCCCCCATTCCAATGTTTTTCAGTACTCGTCCGATCCGCGTGTCATGGATAACTGTCATGCGGAGGTAACGGTTGGCTGGAATTACATCGCACAAATCCAAGTCGATCAGTCGTTCAGTGCGACTCTCTTTGAAGTACAAAGCTATGCGGTAAGCGGTGAAATCTGGCTCTGCTATGTGCCTGTTCATCTCCTGGCAGTTGATCGTGCTGTTCTGCGTGGGGTCGTCTGCATCTCATTCAGCCTGGGGTTACCTTGTGGGAGTTTCATTACTAGCGGTTCGCACAGGATTAACACTTCCCAAGGGCCTCGGTATCCGCCTTTTGCAGCAGCGTGGCAATCATTATCAGAAGCGCGACCCTGATAACTTGAACGCAGAATTCGAGTCATGGAACAGGACGTTCTGGTTGTGTTTCATCACTGTCGCTCTCGCTGTTTTCTGACGTGCAGTCAGGGCATTCTTTTGGCTTGATAACCTTGTCTCGGCCTTCCTCGGCAGGCCAATAGGTCTCCATCCGGAAAGGTATCTTCAGAATGTCTGTTTCGGTGAATTGCCTCACGATGTCTTAGCTTCGATGTCGATCTGCCGCTGGAAGTCGATGACGAATACTGGGGTCAGGGCTTTACTCAGCCCGTAGAAAAGCCTTCGTTGCTATCGTTTCTTGTGCATTCCGTCCGTCTGTCAGGGGTTTGTGGATGCGATCATTGTCCAGATGTTCTATCGACGTTTCGCAACAGATACTTGGCGACACTCTGCGTCGTTTATACGCCTCCAAGAAGGCCAAGATCCTTCTCGGGTGGAAAAGTGCAGATTGGGAGCAACAGGTGGTGGCAGAACTCGACTCGCAGATCAACGGTTGGTTGGCCTCCCTCCCTTCGTTCTGTGAGTGGACCGTTGCTATGTGTGTCACTTGATTCCTGACGAGCCGCAGTACGATGGGACTCCCAGAACCCGCCTGAAAGCCAAAGCCTCTTCGTTCAAGCTGCGATTTTGAATGCGGACTACCACCATGCGCAGATCATGGTCAGTGAGGCCGTACCATGGAGCTGATTCATTTGACCTTTTGCAGATCCACCGACCGTTCATACAGAAGGACAACGTGCTGGCGGCACCGTCATTGTCAATCTGTGTGAATGCCGCACACTCTATGCTCAATATTGCAGACTTTTGGATCAAACGGAAGTACATGAACATCCCCTCCCTCAAGCTCAATGTATGTCCTCCTACTTGCGAACGTCCACACCTTTCTCACTGTTTCCTCAGACCAGTGTTTTCATCGCTGCGACGGTTCTAGTTCTGCGAATGTACGGCCAACGGCGGGCCGGACAGTCTATAGCCAAGGATCTGGCGTATCTTGACATTGCATCTCGCTTGCTGGAGATCGGGAAGCATAGGCAAGGACGGTGGAGCACAGCCATCTCATGCTGACCGCGATCCACTCAGGTCCCAGTCGATCTTACGACTGTATCAGCTGCTGCTTTCGCTTGTGAACGCGGCTTGGGAAGATACCGCGCATAGACCTAGTCCCGGGTTCTACCCCCAGGAAACGGTGGTGAATAGTGGACCGGCGGATCAACAGCGACCCGAGGAGGGTCCTCTGACTGGTCCGATTATTCCTCTCCACGCCGAAGTGCCGGTGGACATGAGTCTGGACGACGAGTATATGTCCTTGTGGATGTCTGCGCCTGTCAACTTTGTTTCTTCGTGAGTGCGCTTTGTCTCACGTTCTCCGCACCCTCGTTGAATCATGGACGGCTGGGAGAAGCGGCACCGGGCGCTGGGAAGGATATGGTGCCCAGGATTACTATTGACTGCTGTGACCACTCAACATAGTAAGTTTGTAACCGCGGTATACTTAGCGCTCCCGGTGTAGCTGTAGTAACACTCCCCAATTATTCACTGATATTTAAATCTACTGGCGGTTGTCAGTTGTGCGGTGCATTGTTTTCAAAAAGAGCGTGGGTGAGTAAGAGGTCACAACTAAATTCGATCCGCCCTACGAGTAGCATATTGTTACCGCGAGGTGAGTCGATTCGAGGCGGTTCGGGTTGAGACGAGCCGTATGTGAATGGTTGAGATTGTCGCACCCACTGAGTGCTCATTGTGATCACGTGTACCCAAAGACCGTGGATTTGTCAGCGAGCCTGTCGAGGTCGTTTCACGTGACCTCGCATAGATAGGCCAGCTCTGTCAACACATCGCCTTGATAGACTCAAGTTGATCTTGCTTCAACTGGAGTATTCGACGATGTCACGGCTCTTGTTCTTCTCACCTTCTATATTTTTTGCCGTCTTCCAGGTCAACCGGTCACGGCTGATCTGTTTGAATGAGTCTTTGCTCGCACTTATTTTGATGGTAGCCGCGTCAATTTTACGGTCTGTGCCTCAAGATCGTTCCAAAATAAGTGAAGTTTGGTGACACTTCTCATTGAAGACCCCGGAGTCGGACTAGAAGGAGGCAATCTGGGAGACCTCTGCAATAGTGAGCTCGATACAGGTCCAGATAGGTGTGAGTCTTATTAATTGGCATTTGCGTCTGAGTCAACTGGCCCAGAAGTGACATTACTCGGAGCTCATCGTCCACAACTGATGATCGCTAACACGGGACTTGCCGTGCCGTGACCGCAACCATCAGTTGTGGGCATGCCAAAGTGATTGGTCAGAGTGTATTTTTTTGTGCTTGCTCATCCCATTCTCTGAAACGCGCTATCACGGAATTGACCACAGTGAATAAGAGGACCATCAGACCAATGGTGAGCGCCAGTTGGGAGAGCGAGTTGTTTCGCGCAGGCGCCGCCCATAGGCCTCTGTAGGTCTGTTTCCATGTGTACTTGGCTGACGAATCATTTTCGATCACAGGAATTTCTTGACACATCTGCAAGGGATGACGACGGAGATGCGGACGAGAATGAGTTGGATATGGACAGCATTATGGCCGAATTTATCGACGAGGGAGCGTTGTATGGAATGCAAGTCGGCTCGGAACAAGGAGATCTGGACAACGAAATGGACGGCGTGCTGAGTGCAGAGGAAGCGAATCAGCATGGTTTCGAAGAACGTGCTCTGCTGGCGACATCTTTAGAGCATCTGGCCCATCAGCCACGAATGGAGTTACCGGATGATGAGGCACAGATGGACGGCTTGTTTGCTCTCAGCCAAGCCCTGGTGGTGCAAAGCCCGCCGATAGTGCGCATTCCTGTCCCTCGTTGGATCGAGGAAGATTTGGTGCTCTGGCTCATCCGGCACTGCGAGCGCATGCCCGATGTTGTCGCTGCATACACCAACCCGCTCGTGCCTGACTTTGTGTACGTCGAGACCACAGACGCCGGTCGCCTATTCTCGGCGTTCAAGAATTCGCCGTCTGCGTCCGCTCTTTCTTCGTTCTCGAGCACAGCCAGCAAACTTCCCTTCGCCCATGGAATAGTCTCCTACCCCAGATTTCGCAGCATCTCCAGGAGCGTCCCGGTGATCCTGGACTCCGTTTGGGACGTCAAGGCCTCCCTCTCCATCCGGGCTCAGCGCTGCGGCTGGGCGCGCGTGACTGGCGTAGGGGCGGAGGCATTCAGGTTGAGTCAACATGCCGTGCTGTACCGAGGGGATCTTGTGTTCGTATGCGATGCGGACACACTGCTTGTCATCCCCCGCATCAATTTCAAACGCAACCGCGCATGTCGTGGTCAACGCCCTCCCCCTAGTCCTTTTCTCAGCCGGAATTTGCTGGAGGGGTCGAAATGGGAACAAATAGGGCAGCACGTCCGCTGGGGGAAGCATTATTTTTTGGGACCTTTCGAGGAGATCCAATGCAAGGTCTTTCACCATCCACGTCCCGTTGCCTTCCTCTCTGAACCTCCACCCTGGGACGAACTGAGACCTTTTGTCGATCTGGATTCTCTGAGAGATGACCGTACACCCGCTGCGGCGGGGAAGGAGAGGCATCTGATCCTGGATTCACCCTTTCTTGCGCAAGCGTATGAGAACACCACGCGTTATGCTCTCCAGGCAGGGGATCGAGCAATCCTTGATACATATGAGTCCCTGGAGTACGACACAGGCAGGGGAGCCTCCGATGTCTTTATTCGCGGCATCGACTACGCGCACAACAAGGCCGTAATTACCAAAGGATACACTGACACCGGCGACCCCAGCACGCACCTCCGCCTCGCTCCTTCCTCTGAGTGTTCCCTCAAAGACCTTAGGCTGCATCCCCTCTCTCCTCCCCGAAACATAAAGGAGGGAGATCGGGTGATTGTCGTGCGATCTACTGCTCAGGCAAGGGAGGGCCTGGTGGGTCGAGTCTGTGCAACCGAAGGGGAAATTCTCCATATCGTCACTGTGCATGAAGATCCACCCCAATTGCTACATGTTTCGATCGGCAATGTCTGCATCCATTATGTCTCAGCAGACGTAGTGCGAATCATGTATGGTCGACATGCCGAGATGGAAGGAGTCGTGCTGAATGCTGAAGAGGACGGTCATTTAAGTCTTCAGCTAGTAAGCAGCCACATTATGCACTGCTTGCGGCGTCTAATTCCTCCGGCAGACCACATTAGAAGCCATCTTCAATTTCATCCAAGAGCGAGACTATTCAAATGCTCAACTTCTTGGGTCCCTAGAACCTCTTCTCATTCCCGTCAGTTAATGCATACCTGTAAATGAAAAGACCGAACTAATTTTGCAATAGATTTTTGTACCCAGATGGCAAGTGCAGCTTGTTACACTCGGCACGCTCCCTGTTCAGGAATCTGCGTCGTTCTCACAAACAGAACGCATCGAGATGCTTTCGCAAGAGGAAAAAATAAAATTGAAAACCGAGTTCACAAACGATGTGCTGAAATTGAGAAAATTCGAGGTGTTAATTGTGGCAGGGCCGCTCAAAGGAAAACGGGGCCGCATCGTGGATTACAAGCACACGAGTTCGGTGCCTAGCACTCTTGATTTGCGTCCTGATGTGGGAATGGCTGCCCGCTGGGCGGAAGTCAGCCAACGGGACCCACTAGAGGATGTCGAGCTTACAGTGGGATTGGACGGTACCATGAAGAACGAGACAATGAAAGTCGATGATGTGCGAGAATTACGGTACGTGCAGTGATCTGCTTTGACGCTTCCTCTAAGATCCTTCAGATCGGGATTTCGGTTGAGACAAGCACTTCATTTTCGCAATATATCAAACTTGCCCCTCTTCAGTCGACCGAGAACACCATCTCCGCCCCCGGACGCTCCTGTCCCACTGTGCAATTCGAAGAGCCAGGTGAACCTCGCGTCCCAAGAAGATGGATCTTGGTTGTGTCTGAAAAGCTTGTTGGGCAAGCGTGTCGATGTCATGATTGATGATGCTGCGTCCTTGAGGCTGTTGCAGCTCAAGAGAGAAAAGGGGTATGAAGCCAGCGAAAAAACGAAGCGAGAAAAAGTGAAGGGACCAAGCTCTAGAAAGTCCAAGGCACCCCGAAGTCGAGTTCTTGATGCTCTCAGCGCACAGCTCTATGAGCGCGGTGCGGGACAACCTGCTTTTGTAGTGGGGAGAAATATCCCGGACGCAGAAACTGCAGCAGTACATGCCCACATATGGCCCTCCATGCAGGTGATGAAAGTCCCTGTCTCTGCTCTCAAACCATGCCGGAAAACTCTGCCTCCAGTTGGAGGTGGTAGCCCACAGAGTATTTTGGACATCAAGGCCAGAGTGGTCATCATTGGACCGGATGTTCACCATTCAACAGAATTCATGGGTGAATATGGTGAAACAATTCCAGACACCAGGATTGGAGTCACTATCAAAGTGCGCTTTGAGTGGAGAAGGGATCCTGGTGCCTCTGAAGCAGACCAGCCAGTGGCAAGGTTTGACTTGTTCTCAATTTGTAGCTCTACAAACATTGTGCGGATCCAGAGGGGAACCAATCTCCCCCTTTACAAGACTTCCACATTTGATCAATAAGTTGGCCCAGACAGTACTAAAGATTATCTTATAACTATAGTCTCTGTCATCATGTCATGATCCAATCATTTTCCACCCAATTATCTTATCTTGACATGGGGTTATCTTTGTTAGTGGAGATACTGGTCTGGGTCTGTGACTTGGATCAACTCCTATTATGGTCACATTTGCACCTCAGTTTGTGACAATCAACCCAAAAACAAAGTCGAAAAGAGAAATGAATTCAAAGACTGGAGAATACAACCAAGTAGCTACAGTATTTATACCCAAATCCAGTCTGAGTCATATCTACAACTAATGAGTCATCGGGCTATGTACCACATGGAGCACTGGTCATGGGTTGTAGTAGAACCTTCTGGAGCATATGTCGCGCAGCCTTGAATCGATAAGGATAACCCCTGGAACCCCTAGCCCGGACCGTCTGATGCCGTGATCCGTGATAAGATAATCCGTGTCCAGATAAGATGAGATCATCGAGGATAAGATGAAAAAGAGTCGAATTATGACATTACCCCCTCTCTAGGGTCGATGTCCTCATCGACTAGGCCAATGGGCGTGAAGATGTTCTCGTAGGGATCGAAGAGTTGTCGCTGGGGATATGGAAGGCGCTCGTCTTTGGGTTTGTAGCGATGGATGAGATAATCCCAGTGTCCGGCTTCGAGCGTTGGCAGGAGGTGAATGCATGTGTCTGGGTTGGATTGTTTCCTCTGCCAATCTCTCAGGACCTTCTTTGCGTGGGTAAGGTGACGTGATGGTTCCCAAGTATTTTCGCTATGCGGCCAGCACTTCCATTTGACCAAGTATTGTTTTCCTCGGCCGACGTTTCGCTCTTTCACAATCTCTTCGACTTCCCACTCCTCTGCTCCTCCGATCATCTTGGCTACGGGCCTCTTCTCTCGGCGATGGGGGGGTGGTTCGTGATATGGTGTCAATAGTGCCTCGTTGAACACCGGGTGTCTTCGGTCCGTGTCCGGCAAGTCCAGCTTCCATGCGGCCGCTCCAACCTTCTCCAGTATCTCGTATGGTCCTAATCTCTTGTCGCTCATCTTCTTTGATGGTCTATCCGTTGATAGGCTGGTTACCAGACGCGCTCTGCACCAGCTCTGTAAGGGCGTATTTTTGCGCTTTTTACAGAGTTTACTCTTGAACCATTCGGTGTATCGTGTCGCGGGTGACAGTGTTGCGCTCAGTAGGACTTAAGGGTCTACTGCCCAGTCGACGACTGTGGATAGTGTTGACGATAGCAAGGCAGTCAGACCACTACTGTGGAACTGGTCTTATGAGTCTATACCAGGCTCAGGGCCATTAGTGACGAACGCTTGGACCGCGACCATTCCCCAAAAGGGATCTGTCGTTGCGTCGACTTCTCAAAAAGGGTCATTCTCTGCAGATGGGAACTTGGGCTGAAGGGCTGAGCAATGCGCGACGTTCTCAATAATAGAACTATTACTGGACAAGACTTGGCGTTACGAGACTTAAACCATCTTGTTGCGGCAACTCCCGGTTTTGAGTTGGACGTTTCCTCAGATCGTGCCACGACGACGACTTGTCACATGTCAGGATCCATTCGATCACGGGACATTGTGGACGCGTCGCGGTGACACTTCCAAGTGTCACGGCGGGTCGCGCCCATACCCAAACACACTAGAAACCGACACGGCTAGATCCGTGAACTGAGTCATGTGGGAAACGACCAGCGTGCCTAGGGCCATACGGCTTCTTGGGGCGCCCACGTTGGTCTCACATGCCAAGACATACCCGTTGGCCAATCCAACACGTCGTATTCCAAAAGTATGACGCGGTGGGTTGACCCACATCAAAAGTATCATATGGACTATGGGGCGGGGTCCTGATCACTAGGACCTGTCCGATCGTTCAACTTTTCAATTACCCTAAAAGGCAACCGATCTTAGATAGCGTAGCTACTATGCAGTTGTACAGGACTTTACTAAGCATCGTCGTAGACAGTATAAGTAGCACAACGTTTCTTTGTATTAAAAAGTTTTCCCCGGGACTGTGAATCACTCTCATTTCAGATTGTTTTGTACAATTTGCGTGCCGCGTGATTCCACCCTAAGAAGTTCTGCTACCCCTGCCCGGTCGCGACGAGTTGCTCCCTGAGCACTTGTAGCTACTGTGATTTGAGTTTGAGTTGAGACATCAGAAAGTCGGATTCGCCGCATCTGGTTTAGTCGCGGCATTTAGTGTCGTCGCCTTCGGGCTTTGTTGAGATTGTTCCACACCTCTAGCTTGGCAGTGCGTCGACTAGTTGTGCTCGGGTTGTTTTGGTCAGTTGGCAGTGCGTCGACTTGAGAACTTTGGTTCCACACTTCTTGCTTGGCAGTGCGTCGACAAGTTGTGCTCGGGTTTTGGACATTGGATATTGGCTGTTAGTTGGCAGTGCGTCGACGCGGCATTTTTATTTACTAGTTGGCAGTGCGTCGACTCAGTACTTTTGGTTGTGTCAGTTGGCAGTGCGTTGACTTGACATTTTGGTTCTACTAGTTGGCAGTGCGTCGACTCAGTATATTGGTTGTATCGGTTGGCAGTGCGTCGACTTGATATTTGGGCTTTGCGTCGCCATCTAGACGCTGTCGCTACAAGGGATCTTAATACTTCGTATTAAGCTCTGACTTGTTATATCGTTGGTTGTGGATTGTATTAGTGTTGGTTGTGCTCGTATAGAAGATATTGGTTGAGATACCATTGTTTGCTATATATATATCCTTGTCGTCGACTCCGTCTCCGCGACTATTGGATCTGCGTCTATTGAGAGTTGTGATACTGGTGCTCTGTCCACCCCGAAGCCCTCGCATCTTTCACACACTGAGAAGCTGATTACGAGGAGTGTGAACGTGTTTATATTTGGGTTTACTTTCATAGTAGATTCACTTGTGAGCACGCCCTCAGCATTTCATCTGGAGCCCACCGCGAGGGGCTTCTAAAGTTTCACAAACTTTAAAAATCAATAAACCGGATTCTTTACCGCGACGTCGGATAGAGACCAAGGGTTTATCCCGCGAAGCAGTTTATTTCGATCCCAAGCTCCTGCGCGACCTCTCGAGGACCAGGCGGAGATTGAGACTGAAGGAAACGCTTCAACTTCAGGACCTTTCGAAAAACCACAAAGGTCTGCAAGACATAAAACACCTTTGTATCTACCACCCTTGCCCTCCAAGGCAAAAGGAAAACAAAGAGTGAATTCGACGTCGAAGCTTCCAGCTTTAGACGCGGCTACTTCGAGCTCGACGACAATCAGTCGATCTCAGACTAGCTCACAAACCCTCTCAGAATTGTCTAGTAGCGTCATTGCTACAAACACAAATTCTAACAACATCCCTACTTCCCCTGTGACTTCAGTCGCGACAACTATGGCTCCAAAGACTGGGTTCAAAATCCCTCAACCTTGGGACACAAGTAGACCTATACTTGATGAAAAGGATCCCCTGTTGATTGAGGCATATTTGCGTCACTGCGCACAGATCGTGGAGGATGGTGGCATCACAGATGTCAAACAAGCAAAAAGCATGTACATTCGTTATTTGCCGTCGCGGCAAGTGATGGACGTATGGGAAGGTCTCGATACCTATTCCGACGACACGAAAACTGTCGCGGAGTTCGAGGCCGAAATCTTAAAAGGGTACCCTGAGGTGTCCAAGCAAAAAACGGGGACCATGGCAGATCTAGATAGACTCTGTCGCGAGAACCGTGGAATCAAAATAACGGATGAGGGAGATTTGAAGCGTTTCGGCCTTCAAATGTACAGTCACTATAAGCGACTGTCAGTCCCTCCTGCCATTATTACCAACAAAGTCGCGTGTGAACGCTACATGCGTACTTTGGACTCCGAGTTCAGTACCGTCTTGCGAAATGCTTTGGCTACGAGTCAAGTATTCAATAAGTGCTACCAAACTCGCGCCGGGATAGCAAACGCTAATGTTCCCGCGACTGGAGTCAACCGGCAGGACGACCCCATCCAGCTGAAAGAACTAATGACAATGGCAGAAGAAATGGCGTCGACGTTGAGCAACGAAGACGAAATTCCCATAATCGCGCAGCCTCCCAAGGTTCGCTTCGACTATGAGACCAGTCCACCCAACCATGCTAAGGTTGAGGAGTTGGAAAACTCGATTTCCAACTTGAAGGACTCATTTCTTCTACACCAAAAAGAGCTACAGACTCAGTTGCAGGAAGCGCTGAAGACGTTCGTACAGACTGCTCGCGAAGCGCCCATACAGCGGTCGCGGCCAGTAGGCAACAACTCTTCTGTGCCCCACTTTGAAAGTCGCGCACAAGGAGGAGCTGCCGCACGAAACGACGACTGTCGCTACTGTGGACAAACTGGTCATTGGTCGAACGAGTGCCCGCTCAAGAGGTCTCACATTGAGAAAAACCTTCTCAAAGTAGACACCAAAGGGATGTGGAGGCTCTTCGACGACAGCTTCTTACCAAATGGAGAAGGGACTCAGGGACAACGAGTAGAGGCTTATTGGAAGAAGAAGGGCAAGTCCGTCAACTTCCAAGACTCTTACTACTTGGATCAGTTCGATAGCCGCGACAATGATGATATGTCCGACTACCCTGAAGAAGTGGCAGATGAGATACGCTCCCTTCGAAGTCAACTCATCCAATACGAGAGGAAGTCGTCGCGGCCAACCCCAGAGAGTCGCGCTGAGCCAAAGACTCAAAGAACTGCATCTGGTTCGACCAGTAATGTAATGGAAAGTGCCATGGGCCAATTCATGCAGAAAGCCATGACCGACGCCATGGCCGGCTACTTCAACAACATGAACAGTGGTTATCCTCAGACTCAGGAGCAGTTCATTCAAACCCGTCGTGGTGCGAATAGCCAACCTGAGCGCGACGATAACAACTCGGGTTTCTAAATGGTTCAAGGAAGGGGGCTAAACCCACAAACTCAGCCAAGCCCTCTGAGGACCATGATAAACAAGCTGAGCAACGAGAGAAACCGAGGAAACCTGTGATTATTGAAGAAGTTAGTGATAGCGATGATGATGAGGAATCAGTGCGCGACAACACCGAAAAGAGAAAGGAACTACCGTTTGAGAAAGTCAAGCCCGTTCTACAAGAACCAGTACATTCTTCAAAAGCGCGCGTTCTAGATAAATACCAGTTGCCTGCACCGATTCAAAAGAAGGCTGTGGCAGAAGCAGTCTACGACAAAATGAAAAACGCGTCAGTCGACGTCACTGTGGGTGAACTCCTAGC